AGTGAAAAATCACAAATTTGGAAATTACACATCAAAAAGAAGGTCTTTAAACAAAGTTACATTTTTCGACAAAAGGATCACTTTAACAATGATGACTGTAGATTATTGTTTGCTGATATATTTTAAATTTGAATTAGGTTTTTGAGATTTTTTAAAGGACTCTTATTTAAGTGGACTGGCGATGAGGATCTAGTTAGTAAGTTAAAATAACATTTATGTAGTGAAAGACTTTTTTTTTATTTTGGGGGAGTGGAAGAAAATAAGGACTTTGATGTTTGAATTCAGATCATTATTCCAAGAGGCCAGGATATCCTTCTTCAACAGATGAGGCTATATAATTGGCACTATTAATGCCTGTTTGACTGTTCATATTTCTGACAATGAAGAGTGGGCAAAGATTTATGACCCACTGTCTAAGCTTTAACATTGGAGTAATGTTAATGGGACATTTATATGTTATTCCGTTATCCCAAAGTCCATTGGTAAGGGATTACATAGGGTTATTCACTAAAGTGAGAACTGCCAGGTATTCAAAGTGAATTCAAAGTGAATTCCAAACTCAAGGCTGAATTAGAAAAGGTTTTCAGTTTAGGAATGCTTCCAATTCAGCTATTTTCAGCCTTAAAAGTGAAATTCCCTTTGATTTCACTTTGAATTCTCAATGCCTCTCATTTTCGTGAATGACACTGGCAGTCAGAGGCAGTTTACTCTATGAGTGAATAGAACGAGTGTGGTTGGTCTTTTTTTTTTTTTAACTCTTTATAGAAACACAATATGCTATGTGGTATACAGTATGTTATGTGCAATGAAGTGCATCACATAGAAAATGTGTGCGATCATAAGCTGTGCTGCCTCTATTTGAAAAGGAGGCTAAGGAGTCTAATAAAAATGTGAAGGATATCAAAACAATTAGAGATAGTAAAATTAGTTGCAAAAAAATTATTTTTCTTAGGACTAGATTCTATTATTATTACTAATTACTAAGCATATCTCTAGTAATTAAAGGGACACTATAGTCACCCAGACCACTTCAGCTCAATGAAGTGGTCTGGGTGCCCACTTCCTCAGGATTTAACCCTTCACATGTAAACATAGCAGTTTCAGAGAAACTGCTATGTATACATAGCAGGGTTAATCCAACCTCTAGTGGCTGTCTAGTGGCTTCCAGCGTGCATAATGTCCATAGGAAAGCATTAGGAAATGCTTTCCTATGGACTGTTAGAATGCGCGCACTGCTCTTGCCGCACATTCACATTCAGCTCCAATCGGGAGCTGCCGTCGACGGGGGAGGAGAGGTCACCAGCATCAAGGGAGCCCGGCGCTGGATTAAAGTAAGCTGCTGAAAGGGTTTAAACCCCTTCAGCGCCACACGAGGGGGACCCTGAGGGTGAGGGTCCCCCAAGGATGACGTAGTGTCAGGAAAACTGTTTTTTTTTTCCTGACACTATAGTGATCTATTATTATTTTTAATATTTTATTATTTATATAGCAGGTATTCAAAAGAAACTGATGGCATGGCTGCTATCCAGTTGTCAACATCAATGTGAAAACAGTATACCATGATTAATCTCAAAATGACAAAGAGAAGGTGTGCTTTACATTGCTTTATGAATGGCAAATATGCAAACAACAAGCTATACAACTCAGTAAATCTCTGATACTACTTTATAGAACAACCCATTTCTAAGTCATGTTTAAGTTGCACAGTAATTGTTCTTATGTAAAAGAGATTTCACCATACAGCCTCCTTATGACTTTGGCATTAACCTTATGTTCAGAAAGAGGCATCAAGACTAAGTCATCATAGTCAGCAACATAAATAATCAGCAGTTGACTGAACAATGGATCAATTTACAAAGGCAACACAAAGAAAATAAATTACATATGCAATTTCATTGTTTATTGACTGTCCTTCTTTAAACTTTTCTTGTATATTCAGGATCAATAGATTTAAATACTGTTGTATTCATTGCAAAAGTCACCACTGAATATGTATTTGATGAAAGAACACAATAATAATCACTTATTCATGGACAAATGGACTTAACTCCACCAGGGGAGACTTACTTTCCAGACGGCTAGGTTAATTTGATTATCATCAATTTATCTGCCAGTAATACTGGTTATTATACAGATGCACAATTATAATGAGGACAGTGCTGGAGACAGCAGATTACTGTTTTAAAGATCAGATTCCTTACATCACCTTAAGTATATTTTTGTAAGAATAAAATTATATAATGTATTGCATCTTCTTTAGCTATGAGAATTTTTATTCACTCCTTTTTAATTCTTTTTTTCAGGCTTAGATAAACGTATGCAAAACATCAAAATCCCCAAATAGACAGTGTCTACTCAAATTTTGTTTTTAACTTGGAGTAGTTATTATTATGATTTACTGTTTTAATTTTGCAATCTTGCATTAATGATAAATCGAAAGCATCTGCAGCAAGAGTGGACTTAAGTGGAAAAGAGGGAATAGAAAAACTATATATAGAAAAGAAAAGGTCAGTGGGGAATTGACAAAACACTCTGCTGCCACCCTGAGATGGTGTTGCCTATCTTCTCCAGACTCTTCTCTTGTAATTCCTTTGGCATATAGATGCTACTTCTGAGCTAAGGGTAAAGAAAATATGGGCAATATCATCACCAGGTTCATCTTCTTCTACTGAATAGATAGCGCAGAGTTCTAAAGTAGTCAACACAATGTCTGGTCTTAGTGGTCTCTGGTGGCACTGACAAACTTGATTCTCCTGAGCTGTTCCTTAGTTGCTTCTTTGGAGGGCTACAAAAACTAGGGGTCAACATTTAGAATGGCAACATAAGAAGGAGCTACAGTGCCAGTGGAAGAGGCAGCAGAAATTATTGTGGAGATGATGGTTTTCTTTGTAGGCTTAGTTGACCTACACTGGTTCAGACTCTTCCCCTACTTTTTGTCTCCAATTTGTGTAGCATAGAAAACCGGAAAAAAAAAAAAAACATTCAGCTCCTGTGTGGTGAATCAGTTGTAACATACATGCTACTCACCCTATCCTGAAGCTATATACTAATAATAGTGGTGGTATTTATGGTGGTGGTGGTGCTGGAAGTAGTGTTAAGACTCTGAGAGGCCATTGCACTACTGCTGATAATGGATTGGGATACACAAACCCTATCCTTCCTCAGATTCCTCTTGTGATTTGGACATAACATTGGTGAATATATATTTTGTAAACTAACTAAAACTTTGTTAAGCCTAAATAGGTGTTTGCGTTGAAAAATGAGTAGCTACTTGGTCGATTTACTACTACTGAAATATTATTGTATTTGACTTTCAACATTTCACTGCACATAGCATACTGTGTACTACATAGCAGACCTGCCACACTCACTTTGCAGTAACCTGTCAAAAACTGTCAGTGTTATTTTTGCAGTACACTTATAGGTGCATTTACAAACAATTTGGTTCACAGATCAAGTGAAAAGAAAAAAAAAAATAGAGGGAAAGAGAAGAGGACCAGTAAAAAATAATCGATATTTATATTTTATAAACTCTTTGAATATATATAATATACAAATATAGATTTAAGACTATTTAACCCCTTAAGGACCAAACTTCTGGAATAAAAGGGAATCATGACATGTAACACATGTCATGTGTCCTTAAGGGGTTAAAGTATGTATTGTTCATGTTTTGGGATCCATTTTGAAATTTTCTGGAGCTTGCATAAAATCATGATTACTTTTCATTATTCATTCATGCAGAAAATAATGGACGTTAAAAAGTTTTAGAAAACATGATAGCCTTTATAGTTGATACAGCATCTAGAATATTAGTATAAAATCAGAAATAAAAAAAATAAAAAATGTGTGACTAAAATAAATAAAGCCATGAAATTTGGCCAACAAAGTTTATATATTTTGGAAGGATGCTAATGCACATGAATGTAAAAGAGGCATGGAAAAAAAATTAACATCTCTGCAGGGTGAAAATTTACTTGTCTCAAAAGACAAAATTAAATTTAGCCCATTCATACACGATGTTGGGAGATAGTTTTTGTCACCAGTTTGAACAACTCATCAATCAATCATCAATAAAAATGATAGGGAATTTACATTATGGTTACGCAGAAACTATATCATGACAAAAGGGCATTTGTCAGTTTTTATAATAGGGCAGTTCAGTAAGCATCACTGGGTGAAAAAAAAAATATAAAAGAATCAAATTGAAACTAAGGTAGCTTAGTAGGTAAAACAAGAGATTAAAAATAGGAAAACGCTGGAGTAGGGCCTGACATCATGGAGGCAAGATGCACCTCGATGAGCTCC